TTAGGACCTGGCACCAGTAAAACCTTCTGGACAAATTTGGGGAAGAGATGTGAAGTTGAGATTTGGGCCCTTTTTGTTTGTTTGTTTTTGATTAAGTGTTTGGTTTGATTGTTTTTGTTGCTTTTTTGTTTGTTTGCTTTCCCTGCCGATCTGCAAAAGGATATTTTCTGGCTATGGACAGAGGTGCAATGGAAAGCCCCTGAGTAGGGGTGTCACTTGCTTTGGATGTCTGTGTTGTTTTCCTGTTTTTCCGGGCTAGAGGTGGTGGATTATGTATTTTCTGTCTCCTTTTGCTCAATTCCGAGATGTGGGCTATTGTGATTTGCAAAGTCCCAGCTTGAACTGCTGAGATTTCGGAGCCACGCACACACAGGGTGTAACACCACACAGAGCAGTCCTCGACCTCCCACAAACTCAAGCACACATGCAGGGAACAGAGTGTGTAGAAGCACAACACAAGTGGACACATAACACACATGCACACAACACACACAACACACACAACGCACACAAACTGCCGGTGCTTCCTGTGGGGAGCATGACTTCCCTGCTTTGACACCATTCTCTCTGCTCCATACAGAGCCCACTCGTGGGACGCCAGAGCCTCAAACCCTTTCTACATCTTCATGCACACAACCCACAGCCTGCCCAAACCTGCCCCACAGGAACCAGCACAGGTTCACATTCATGGTCCAGCAACACACGGCAACTTTCCCAAACTGCTGCCGCAGAGAGGGCCTGGAGAGACATTGAGAAGTGCTGATGAGTTCTCATGGCTTGTGCATAGGAAAGAGAAATGAAGTGGGTTTCTTTTCTTTTGGCTCTGATTTGGGTCCTGTTCTTCACCGCAGGAGCTGTAAGAGTGCACCTCTACTGGTGCTGATACATCTTGCTGATCCTGGGTGCCCCTTGCATGTTGATATAATCTTTACAGTTGACTTTCTGTAACAATTTCCCTTATGTTACTATTCTGTTTTCCACCATATCTTGCTTGTCTCAAGCTATTTTTTAACATTGTCTAAACTTAAAACTCGTAAGAGTCTTAAAAGCCTTAAAAACTCTGTGTAGCTAAAAAGCTTTTCTTAAAAACTCTGAGCATCTCCTCAGTCCTACTGAATCTTCTGATTCATATTTTTAAAAATTGTCTTGTGCATGCAGGCATGTCTGTCTTTGCTTAGTATGAGTGTTATAGTGAAGGACATTATTTCAGAATTGTTTATGTTCGTGGAACGAGATGTTTTACATGACTCATTACATGATGCAAAGTTTCTTAATTTAAGCAAAACCGAAAGAGTAACTGGGAAAAAAGTAGCACTTACTATTTTTTACTGAGAAATGTAGGTGAGTTTTAGAATTTTGAATATTTAGTTCTTGAGATTAATTACTGGGTGATTTGAGGATAATTTGTAGAACATTTTAAATTGCTTATGGACCTTTGGGAACTGAAGACAGGATTAAATAGTACTGATAAACTCTATACAGTAAACTGCTTACTTAGGTTGCTGCTTGCTAGGTGAAAAAGAAAGGCTAAGGAGAGGCAGATTTTCATGTCTTCATTTTGTAACCCACTGTAAAATTTCCAGAATTTCAGAACAGAGCAGAAAATATACTATAAACTGGAAGCTTCCACTAGCAGCACCTGTAGATATAAATAATAAACTAATAAAAAGCATGGTATCCTATTAATGTTTTATATAAGATTAATCTCTAGACACTCAGGCGTGCTTATACTTAGGAACGTACACAAGCACACAAACATGCATATATCCTGAAAAACAAAATAAAACAGTACTTCTGCTCTGATGTCACTAGCATATTATGATGTTTCTTTCCATAACTGCACGATATTTACGGGTGAATATCTCAGAGAACGGGACTACCTTGAATGAATACAAAGTGCCCATCATATTACGGTTGTTACAGTGAACAAATAAGAAATGAGTGTGCAAAGTGTAAGGATGTATGTAACCATACAAAATTGTAGACAAGCATATAAAAAAAGTTTTTATTTAAAAGGTAAAAATCATCCTGTGGCATCAATGGATCTCTCTCATTCCTAATAAAGCAGTAACATTACTTACGGAAAGCATAAAATATGTGAAAATATGAATTTTGTCAATGAAAAGGTGCGCAAATATTTAACTCTGAGGGTAAAAGGAGACTTAGATTTCAGCAGGTGCCCAAGTGCATAACTCTATCAGAATAAATCATTGCACTCCAGCCACCCTTTTGTCCTCTTCATCTATACAAAGGGAAATCTACAATCAAAACAGACCAAGCTCCCTTTGCATCATACGTTATTGGGGTTTTCATTGTGTTGACAAGACTGTTGGGTTAGAGTACGACTCTGTTGTTCTCGCTGCTGTCGTCTACACAACCCATCATCAGCTAGTGTTGGCATTTTGTACTGACTTGTGCTATTTGATGGGGAGACAGGAATAAGGAAGGGAAAATACTCTCCCGATGTTTGCTGTGACTACCTTTTGCAGTATCACATAGCCTAACTGTTGTTCATCCTGGGCTTGGGAAACAAAGGAGAAGTGCAATTCACACAAAGGAGTGTGTTGTGTTGAATATGAACCAGTCAGTTAAATGGAAAAGGATTGGGCCCCAGGAGTAAGCTAGCAAAAATTAACACATTCTTTTGTTATTCCTCTTCCTCAGACCACTTTATGGAATAGAAGAGAATTGTGGAATGGTTTGGAAGGGAAGGGACCTATAAAGGTCGTCTAGTCCACCCATCTGCAATGAACAGGGTTTTTGTCAATTAGATCAGACAATATATAATCTTCTGAGGTGATTTGGTAGCAGAGGTGATTCAGTATACAGCAGTATCAGGCTCTGAGTCTTTTACCCACATGTGGTCTGCTGTACAAAACACATCTCTTCCACATCCAACTTTTTCCTTTTGAGCAAATGTATTTGTTGAAATCAACATGAAGTTGACAAATCAGAGGGTAAAACCCTGTCATGAAGAAAGAAGAAATAATTGAATACAGTTAGATGAAGGACAAGCCCTAAAGAAGGGGGTGTGTGCCTGAAATCTTCCTTTCTTTTTTTTTCCCCTAATCTATCAGCTGCAATATAAAATATATTCACATTTCATCTAAATCTTGCTTTGCTTGCGTCTTTAGATATTTGCTACTGTAAGAGCACAACTATCACCATTTACAGTCATCTCTAACACAGTATCTTATGGCAACAGATGATGTCAGGCCAGACCACGTAATCACTTCCCTGTGGGAATAAACACTTTTCCTAAAAAGAATCTTCATAACACTGACAGGCCCATTTCACGTGGTACTCGAAGCATGAAATTGCTGAGGCAATCTGCTGGATGATCCTACCAGTTATCTGGTAGATGACCTTTAAAGATCCCTTCTAACCTAACACATTCTATGATTCTGTCTCACCTTCTGCCTGCTGTCATTTTCTTTCTCCTAGCCTTGCAGCAGGACCAGTGGTGTGAGGAACTAGTCAGGAAGCAATGCTCAATGATTTTCCTTTCATTTATGCTGGTGGACACATTACTTTGCTGTAGCTATGTGTGGGGCTCTTCATCTTATGGGGTCTTATGTATCCTGGCACCAGAAACTGAGTCTGTAAGGGTTTCTAAAGCAAGTAAAAGCTGCTAAGAGGAATAGGACTCACCAGGTTGAACTGGTAGGGAGGTTGGTACGAGATGATCTTTAAGGTCCCTTCCAACTCAAACCATTCTATGATTCTATGATTCTACCATTCTATGATTCTGTGATTCTATGATTCTATGAAAGGCATTATTTCCTTTCTATTTCTGAAGACATTCTCTTCTGCTTCTTCAGCTGATGCCTGTTAGCATCCCACTCACAAATACCCTGTTACGACAAGACTAGCTTAACAGTTGAACAAGACTTTTCCAAGAGCATTTACAGTGGCGTTGGGTTGATGGAAAAGAAAAGCTAGGCATTGCCACTGCTGTTTAATTTAAAGCATACCTTGTCGTCTCCCCATTGAGCTGCATTTTTTCACAAAATCATTTGCCTGCTCTAATACATGGTCAGAACACGGGGGAAGGAATACACTAAAGAGTGCATGTTTTGCAAGAAACCCTCCGTCTTTCAGTGCAATTGCACTTATCCTCTCCTTTCACTTTTCAGCAGCCCTCCCTTTATTTACCAGCATGCCTTTTTCTGTTTACCACCTGGTGTAAAGTCCACCTCTTCTCTACAGTGATGTCTGTGGTAGGAGAGCCATGCCTTCAAAACTGCACACAAAGACATAACCTTGTCTAGAAAGCATCACACTGCTCTCTGTTGTTGTGCCAACGAATAATTGGTATAATGAAATGATCATATGCAACAGAGTTTAATTTCTTGTCATTTGTAACTTGTCCTCCATGTTTCTGGAAAGACTTAGACTTAGACTTGTAATTTTCTTTTACTTTTAACCCAGACCTGACATATCTGGAATTTCTTTGTTGAAGGTCATATTGCATAGGCATGACATTTTTAAACATTTTAGACTGCAAACAACTTTCCACTAAACAGTAATGAGAAATGTTCCAGTGAGTTCTGGTTAGGGTAGAAGCAGCTGCAGAGTAACAGATTTTTGGATTAAAGGAACGATTATTTATCTGGCATAAATAGTGCACATACTGGCTTAACCTGGCAAGAAGATATATGACACTGGTTTCAGTATAATCTCACTCATTACAAAATATACAGACTTATTGAAATAAATAAATATGCATACATTGCTACTGTTTTCTTGACACATATATATATGTACCCATGTGTATATGTATTGTGTGGCAAGAGATGCCAAACAAACAAATCTACTCGGTGTTAACACTCTTCACAATTGTACCTGACAGACCAGAAGTTTGAAAATGTTGACTGAAAACATTTATAGGTTTCTGTGAAGCCTTGTCTCAGATAAGAAAAAAAAAAAACCAACCAACCAACGAAACCCAATCACAAACCCAAACAATAAAATAACAAACCACCAAACCCATTGCAATCATGTGGCACCAGATTTCTGTACTTGAGCGTATGAGCTCATGATCGCAGCTTTGAGTAGTGCAAAAATGTGCCTAAGTGCCCTTGATATATCTGTTTAATGATGCATGATTTGTCTCTATATTCTGTGTGAGAAGTGGACACTAATATCTAACCTGTAGCTTAATTAGAAAAGTCATAAAATATCCTACTGTATTGAGTCAGGATCTTACCCATCTGGGATTTATACCAAGAGGTGTTCTTTTCTGGTTTTGCTGTCAGCACAAATGTTTAAATATACCTTCAAGAGCTGAAATATTTGGAAGGAAATTCTGTTTGCCTTATGTAAGCAAGCAATTGTCTGCTTTTAATGAAGTTGCATCCTTCAGTTATATTCCTCTGTCTCTGCTAAAACTGGAGTGTACTTAGTCACCTTAATTTTAAGAGGGATTATATACGGAAGATGAAAGTAAAGATGTTAGGATCTTGTTTAAAGTGAGCTATTATTTCTATTCTATTCTATTCTATTCTATTCTATTCTATTCTATTCTATTCTATTCTGCTCATATTACAGAATTTAGGCTACAAATTAGAATTTTTAAGCATGATAATATGAGCTTTGGCAGTGCAAAGAAAAATAGAGTTTATCACAGAAAAGACACGATTATCATGGTAGTTTAAAAAGTACAGTATCTTTCCTTTAAACAAGAATGATGAGCACAGATTCATTCTGCTCTAAGAAGGTCTTTATATCATTGTTCTCACGGAAACCATCTAAACTCCTTCTAGTAATGCATTGAATTATACGATATTTTATATCACTGTCAGATGCAGCTCATTCTTTTTTTCCCTCATCTTTCCCCCAGGGAAGAATTGTGCATGTGGTGGTAAGATTTACTTCTTCCACAGATTTTTTTATTGTAGTTAGGTTTGAGAAGGCAGGTCAAAGAAAAGTATTTTACATTTGGTGATAAAAGATGTGTTAGTCATTAAGATTTTTTTTTTCCCTGTGAGTTTGCACTATTCTCTTGCATCAGTTGCAGAGAAAGTTTTATCTCTTGCTCTCTCACATATTAACTTGAAGTTAAAAGCACAATTTTGCCTGAGGAGTTATTGATCACAGTCTTCATTGAAAGATTTGGTGATCATTCAGCAGTTTTAGACTCAGGCCAAATAATTGCCACTTTTAACAAATAAACAATTCCAGCACTAACCTCAGATAAACTGATGTAGCTCAATAGATTCAATCATTAACATTAGCTCAGAATTTGACCTAACTTTAGAAGGAGCATATGAGAGTTCATCATAATGAAAAATCATTCTGGCCCCAAATCACTGCAAACCTATAGTAGCATTGCAGCTTTTTTATCCTAAACACTGCTGTGAGTGTTAAAATGAACATTTCTTGTTAGAACCAATATCCCAAATTTTTCACCAACTACATTTTTTTAAATCCTGAGTGACAGCTGAGTCTGGATCAGTTTTACATTGTTAATCATACTAGGCACAAGACTGGAAAGACTGATTGTACATAATTTTTACTGAGTAGGAAATCAAATGAGATAGTCATAATGATCTAATTTGACTGTAAATCTTGTGAGATATAATTGTTCTCTTTTCCTGGGCTGAAATTTCAATCTGTTCATCCTTCTCAAAGCAACAACATGATACAATATTTAAAAAAAAAAAAGAAAAATCACCACCTCCAAAATATTCCAAAAACCCAAACAAAACCAACAACAGCAAAAACGATAAGTAAACAACAGAATCGTTCTTCATGATTGAGTTGGTCAAAACATGGAATATGAAGTTCTTCCCACCCTAAGATCTCTTTTCTTTCGTAGGTGGCACCTGCGTTGTTAACCCCACTGATCTGTTCTGCTCTGTTCCTGGTCGCTTATCTCTACTCAGCTCCACTTCGAAGTACAAAGTGACCATTGCAGAGGTGAAGAGGCGCCTTTCACCACCAGAATGCCTCAATGCTTCACTCTTAGGAGGTATTTTGAGAAGGTAAGTGGAAGGTGAGAATAACAAGTCCTAGACGGTGCTACAATTTCTGTAATTTTATGTTTTACAAATTAATTTTGTTCTCTTTCCCCACCTGGATAGGAGGTCACAGTTTGGGAAAACAGAAGGAGAGGAACACTGTTCCTAGGGAAATTTTCAATAAATGAGAAAAATGAAGACTGTGTTAACATTTTTCACAAAAAGTTTACATTTTTTCAGTGAACTGTTTTGGTTTTTTATCCCCTCAGTTCAGCTACTCCTCACAGATGGATAGGTGTTGCTTCACCTTGATTTGAATTTAAAAAAAAAAAAAAAGGTAGTCAATGCATGGAAAATTTTACCAGAGCTACAAATCTGACTTGTTGTTCATAAACTATTTCAAAGTAAATTGTTTTACCGAGTGTAGTTTCAGCCCTCACTCAATAAAAAAATAAAACAGGGAGGTGTAGGGATGTTTTTCTCTTCCTTTCTCCTTCATATATTTTTTGAGCACAGAAAGGACAGAACACACTGATTTTATTTTCCTGGGTTTGAGATGCTGGAGGAGGAGAAGAAAATAATCAGGTACAATTTTGCCTCTGACTCTTCACTGACCAGAGCAGATACCTGCAGAGAGCAGGAGCAGAAAGGAGGAAAGTGGCAGACTGTGCCTCACGTTGCAAGTGGAAAATAGGGAGGCAACTGTAATTCACCCCGGCATATGTAAGTCACAACATCCCTGAGGCGTCAACTTAGATGGCATAAGCTACTTGAATGCCCTTTGATCAAAACTAGCTGGAAAGTCACAGGCTATTTCACTGCTGTCACTGAAGGCCACACTGATCCTCACGCTTATACTTAAAGTTATTTTAACCAACCTGCGAGATTCTGAGACATGTAGCAGTGCAAAAGCTGTCATGAGCCATCTTGCACAGCAAGGACTATAGATCACAACATTGTTTTAGGGGCACAAGCCCCCATTTGCCTGCCTCTGTAGGCATTGAAATCCAAAATCTGTATCCACAAAAGTTTTACTCTGTTACTGCTTCACCTTAGAGAGGCTTTTAGTTGATAGTCAAAGAAATACTCACTTTAAATACTCATAGAACAAACTTTGTCAATACCACTATAAGCTAGTAAGTATACAAAGGCATCAGGCTGAGCACATGGACTCACTTCTCTCTTCTCTTAAAATGCTAGAAGGATTAGACTCAATGATCTTTTCCAACCTAAATGATTCTATGATCCCTGTAAGTTTTTGACCCAGACCAAATATCACTCTTCCAAATCAACCCTGGGCAGGAGTTAGGAAGTTAGGAAAAGTCAGAGCCATTAGTCTGGATGTGTAATTCTGTTTTATGAAGAAGAAGATGTACACGAGTAGACTTGGTCAGCCTATACCTGTAGGTGTCACAACTAGATTCAAACATTCTGTAGCTGACAGCAGAAATGTAGCAAAATCAAATTCTCTTCATCGTTTGCCCGATACCAGGCAGGGTTGATTTTGCATCCTGTCAGCAGTCACAATCTAGGTATTTCTCCCAACTGTTTTTTCTGCAGAATTAAGTGTTCTCAGAAGACATTTCCTGACCTACAACGTGGTTGAAGTAGTAGTATCCCTCAGTGCATGAAAATTACCATCTAAATGGTGGTGTTCCAAGTTTGGTTCCTTCCTCTGCTCAAAGAAACTTGAACCTGCACCTCAAAAAATCTCATTAGGCATGCTTAATATTCAGTGATTTGTTGTTCCATACTGAGGGCTGGCCCCTCAATCTCATTTGGGGCTAATTAAATATTTGTCAGACCAAACTAAAGTTACAACTGTAGTGACGACTCTGTTATCTAATGACCAGGCCATTCATTTGAAATGGGAGAGATCTGGGTTCCAGTCACTGCTTTATTCAATGTTTAAGCATTTTAACATTAGTTATTCACTGACAGCTGGCTGCCGCATTCATCTAAAAGATATGGGTTAAAATTCCCTCAGGCTAAGGAAGAAATTGAACCTACATTTCCTGCATAAGTGGCTATGTCTCAAATGCTTCAAATACTCAAATACTGCAGAGAAGCAGGTGTGGAATGCACCAGAAACAATTTTGTGAGAACAAAGTGATGTAGATATTTGGGAGAGGGGCATAGATAACCAATGTTGGCTGGGATTTTAGCTTCAGCATTTCCTATTGCCTTATTCTTTCTTCCTTGTAAGTGTTGGGCTTTGAAGACTACATTCCTAAGTACTCAGGACTCCATATAAATTATAGAGGGATAGCTGGAGCTAGGTTCCACGTAAATGTCTACATTTGAATAGCTATCTGGCTTCCTTTTATAGCTGGGTGAAAGATGAATACAGTCCTCTCATCCTACACGGTTCTTTAATATAATCCTAGAAATACGTGTTTTTCTCTCAATTGCCTTGGGAACCTGGGGTGGCTGAATCAGATAGAAGTGACAGCACTGTCAATATTCATATGGAGTCACTGCAATCCCAGGCTCTGTGTCCAAATCAGGACCATAGGTTCTGACTAGGTGGAAAGCTTTCTGGAGATCTGATGCCCCTCTGCCAAGCATTAAAATGTATAACTTTGTCAAAGGACCAACGTGAAAATCTTGAACAGTGCAAGCAGGACAGTAAGAATATAGCTCTGAAAGATTTTCCATTGATTTCATCAATACAGGCATTACCCTACACATTTATCAATGAGGTCTGTACAATTTCTAGACTTATATTAATATGGGAAAAAAGTGCAGAATAAAGACAAGTTTCTCTCTCCTGCTGTTCTCTTGCGACAGAGCAAAATCCAAGAATGGAGGACGCTGCTTGCGAGAAAAATTAGACAGACTGGGACTGAATTTGCCTGCAGGAAGAAGAAAAGCAGCAAATGTCACACTCTTGACTTCCTTGGTAGAAGGTAGGGTTTACAAAAGTGCAATATAATATAAACATAATTGAAATATTTCCTTGTATACAACACTTTTCGGTCACAGTGTTAAATATCAGAAACTGTACTTTGTACGAAGGGGAGAACTGACTTGCCTAAAGCCTCAGACAGATAAAGTGGCAAAATGGAAGTTCCCTCTGAAATGTCTTGGCTCCCAGCAAGCAGCATTGTCCTGCAGTTTCCTCAGCATTAATCTATGTTTTCTGTATTGGGATCTGACTTACAGAACGATGATCCAAGTGTTCTTGTAAGAGAACTGAATTTCTTATATCTGCTCTATAAGTAGGTTTGTTTATCCTCTTTTTTTTTTTAACTTGTGAATTTCCTGGAGCTGATCCAAAATTATGATTTATTTTTTTTTCCCCATAAGAAGGCATAATATTTAGACAAGGCTTTTTCCTCCACACATAAACGAATGAAATCTGTTTTCAGATAAACTCTAGGCAGGCCCAGGAGAAGCATTCTTGGCCTTTATTTTTTGTTTAAATATCATTCACCAAATACTGTCAGGCTCTTCAAACCTTCAGCTGGGAGATGTAGGTTCAAACCCCTCAGGCAAAGGGAAGAAACTCTACCTGAATCTTTTCTATTCTGGGTGACTCCAGTAAGTACTCAGTTTGTTGTCTGGCTGTGAGTAGCAGCCCTGGGAATTTCAGATCCCTCCTCCTTGATGTTGAGAACACTCAGCTCATCCTAAAGGTCAACATTTTCTAGGATCATAACCTGAAAGGTCCACACAGATCTAGGCAAGTAGGCTGAGGTCTCAGCACATATTACCACAAAATCACAGAATTACAGAAAGGTTGGGGCTGGAAGGGACCTCTGATGGTCTTCTAGTTCAACCCTTCTGCTCAAAGCAGGGTCAATTAGAAGATGTTTTTCAAGTTTTTAATATGATGATGAAATAGTGCAGAATCCACAGCAGTGAATATTTTTCACCATCTGAGAGAAGAGACTGAGGTTCTCAGGGGCTACTGAACACACAACAACAGTGGGGCTGCTGTGAAATATGAGAGTCTCCATATCATACTGGCTTCTAGCAAAGAGACACCATAATGGAGTCTTAGAAAAGAGAATTTTCCCCCCAGTTTGGAGGAGTAAGGACTGTTCCTACCCTCACAGTCCTTCATGCATTTTGGGTCTTAGCAGGGAAGAATAAACAGAGCTGTGTGGCCAGCTACTCATTCATTAGGAGAGACTGAGAGGGAGGAAGTGCTTTTTCAACTGCTGTCCAGGGGCTGATAACAAAATACTTTGCCTGTAAGTCAGAATTAGATTCCCTTTTCTCCCCGGTGATGGAGCTGTCCTTATCTCCCTGTTCTTTACTCAAAGCCAAGAGCAAATCTATTATCAAGTCTATGGTATTGATTTTATTCTTGGTGTGCCTTACTGTGAGTCCTGAAGATACATGCTGAGGAGACTGAGCTCACTTTGGTGGAGACCTGTTTGCCTAGACATACTAATCACTGATTTTGTCTACTGGAATTTTTGGGAAAGGCATTACCACGTGTGTTAACATTCTGGCAAAAAATAAAATGAAGCTCATTTTCTGTCTGTGTAACCAGTCCTCGGTCAAACTTGGCAGTGTTCATTGAATTCTTTGTGCTATAAGCTGTCCTCCCTTTGTACATGCAGATATTACTTCTAAGGGGCACTGACCTGAAGCATGATTTCTGCACTAAAACCTGTCTCTCAATGGCTCCTGCTGCTGGAGGAGGCAGAAATGGAAAGACTCAGGTTTATTCTGGGTTTTAGAGGAGAAAAAAAGCATGAAGAAAAAAACACTGACCTTTTCTTCATGATGTCAATACGCAAACTGGCACCATGATGTTCATCTTGGTAAACCCCTAAATATCAGGCTTACTGTGTTGACTTCTTGTAAGGACCCAGTATTGTGTCACTCTTGGTTATTTTAGATTGCTGTAACTGTACTATTATTAAAGATCCTCACAGTCTTCAATATATCAAGGCTTTTAACATCTCTTTAAAGTAGGAATGTGCTCAACTTCTTGAAAAACTGTATTAGGTAAGAGAAAGCAAAAACAGTTGTATCGTGATTAAGTATATTAAAACAAAGCTGCCCCAAAAGTCTCTGGCAAGACTGCAAGTTCTCTTCCTCTAAAATAGACTAAAACTATCGAGTTTTGGGGATCATTGCAAGTTCAATAGAGGAATTGCAGTGAATTTCTAGGCTGTGGTGGTCAAGTGAGGATCCGGACTCTACGAAAATTGTTTTCTCCAAACTCATCTCTTTTGGAGTTCAGCATGGCTGCTGGGTGTTTACCGTTATTCTTGTTTTGGTCAGGGTGCGTCTTTAGTGTCTTTGGTAGCGACTTCTGGGGCCCAAAGTAGGACCTGTTCGGCAGATGAGTTCTGCTCTTTACATTGTCTTCTAGATAAAGCAGCACAATGGGTGGAAAGACAGACTGTGAGAATGACAGCATTGCAAGACTCTGCAGCACCAGGGGACAGATGTTTGTGAAACCTATAGGTGAGGGATGCCCTCTAGTGCCAGCGTTAGAAGAAGGGAAAAGTAGCTTTTTTTACCACCTCTAAAAGGAAAATTCCTACATTTTACTTAACACAAGAAAGGTTCTTCCATTAAATACTAGTGTGGCCAAGGCTAAGCCTTGCTGCTGCCTCAAAGGGGTCCAAAGCCTCCCCAGTGGGAGCAAGAAAGGATGCAAGAAGAGGGGAGATGTCCTCTTCTGTTTGGACAGGTCATTTACAAGGGAGAGACATAGCATAAATGTGATTGCAGATGCAAGTAAAAGCAATGCATGAATGATTTTTAAACTACCATTTTAAAAAGAAAAAAGGAAAGTAAATGGAAAAAAAAACACTTTCAAAAAATCTAGGAGTTGTTTTCCTGTCAAATCTAATTAAGACACTAAATTTCCTAGAATTGACAGCATTCATCTGTCATGGTTTTTGGGACCAGAACTCTTGAGAAAAATAGGTCAGCAGTTACTTTTTCCACCCCGCTATCAGTTGTCACACTTCTCCCCCACCAGTCTTTGTTTAAATATCCTTCCACTTGTTCCTCCTTCCTTCTCACCCTACAAATATAAAAAAACCTCCACTTTCCTTCCACCTCCCGCCTTTCCCTCCTCCCCCTGGGTAGCATTTCTGCTAGGTAGAGCATCCGGAGGAGGCAAAGCCAAGCAGAGAGTAGGAGGTTCAGATGCCGAGTGTCCCTCTCCTGGGACACTGCTTCTGCCTTCACTCTGCATAGGAGCATCTCTCACTCTTGCCAGACCCAGGAGACACACATGCTGCTCCTTGCACCTGCCCACAGAAACCTGTCAAGGTATGCGACTGGTCTCTCCACTGAGGTTTTCCAGAGCTGTCTCTGCCAATTCAGCTTCAGCAACTGTCCTTTTCCATCATGCAGATCTCTCTGGTCAATTGTCAAATTATAGAGGAAAGGCAGTGCTGCTTATAGCTGCAAAGCCCCGTGCTGGATTTAAGAAGAAAGAGTCAACGGTCCTCAACACTTTGCCTTGGCAGGAGGGAAGAGCTGGAGTTATTGCACACAGGGAAATTTGCTTTTAGGTTGAAACAAGGCAACTGGCTATAAAATTCAGGGATTTTAGTGGTTTCTGCTTTTAGCATGACTCCTCTCTAATGAAAATAATAACCAGGCAGAAGGTGACAAATCTAAGGTAGAAGAAAAGAGATCAGTTCATCCACATTTCCAAAATTACCTATTTTTCCTGAAATTTTCTAAATTCTGATGCAAAGGAAAAAAGAAAATTTTTTACAACATTTTGTAAAAACTACTTTCCCCTATGAAGCAGATTTATTTACTCCTGTACAGTAATACAAGAGACTTCTGTTCATGGAGATTAATAAAAAATAATATGGATAGAAAAGTATCATAAACCACTTCTAAATATCAAATTATAATTTCATCCAGGTTCAAAATGGAACTTTTGATCAACAGTGAGAGATGAGAAATTATATTTTAAAGAGTGTTTTCATGTCCAGATTTGTATTTTTATTTAGAAATTTATGTTGTAATTTCAAATGCCTATTCCTTATATCATATGGAAGTGCATGCTTATATGAACAAACATGAATAATTCTAATGTGCATTCATAATATATATCAGCTTTCTGTTTCCAGTAATTTTTTTTAAAAATACATGTTTGAAACATTTTCTAATTTATTATTTCACGAAACACAATAGGTACATTTGTGCCTACATTTTTACATATCTGTATCTGCAAACAGATAAGTAATTTTGTTTCATTTTGTTCACAATTTTATCTCCTCACATACCATTATCATTCAATAACAATCCCTGCTCCAGATGAAATAGGAAAGGGTTATAATTTGTATAATTTTCTTAGATCATCAAAACAGCTTAGTATATTTCTCTCTAGTAAATAGTATTTACCATCTGTGTAAATATGTTTGAACAATGATTCATATTTTTATCCCTTTTTTTTGACATTAGGTAAGGACATAGCAATTTCAGTCAGTTCGTCATTGACCACGTTAAATAAATGCCTACGTTTCATCACATCACATTTTGCTTTCTTGAAAAAATCAAGACTTTTCCAGCTGCTAAAGATTTAAATTCTTTGCTGACTATGTTCCATGTATTGTCACTTGGGTCTGACTGGGACCAGGATAGAGGTGTCTGGAGAATGGTAATTCCACCAGATGACCACTTCAAGGGGTTTGACTTTTATCTTCTTTCCATGTTGGCATGAAAACAAACTTATCAAGTGTTTTAATGGAGTTTGAAAAGCAAAACCTGGCTCTCCTCTGTAATTGACTTACTCTTCAAGTCTTTGTTTAAAGAAGAGTAAAAATGTAGCTGAAATAGAAATTTTGAAGAACGTCCACAGAAATTTAGAATCTGTGGCTTAAACTTGTACCCTTTCTCATTCATGAATAAGTCTAGGATAGATGTTTTAAAGCTGGCACTTAGCTATACACATCTTTATTCTGATTCGCTGTCAATATACCAGTGAAATCTGCTTTAATTTCGCTGAAAATTACGTTACTTTTCCAGAAGCTGTAAAGAAGTGGAAAATATTTCTCCTTTCATCTCAGAAACAGTAGCTTTTTGTTAACTTCTTATCCTTTTTTAGGCATATTTGAAATCAAGTTTTAAAAAATCTTCAATATTTGCATATAAAATTAGTTGCAGCTGCAAAGGTTGTTGTTGACTAGTGGCAGCAAACAAATTCCCTGAGAGTAGTATATGTATTTTACTAGTACCTGCAGCCAATTAGGTCAAATAGGCACACAACAAAGTATTTGCTTATGGAAACAAAAGGTATTTTTTGGTAAAAACTCCAACAATAGAAGGGGAGACAATAAACTCTGAAAAGCTGGAAAACAGAGTCTGGAATAGATGTCAGTGCATGTGGTTCCTTGTGCCTCTGGCAGAGGACCACTGCTCCCATGGAAGTTTCCATTTTCCTTGGCTTGGCCAGGTCTGTGCAGAGCAGACCCAGCCTTGCTGGAGATGAGATTCATCTCACCATCTCTGTCATATTTGTATCTCACGTTCTTTCATGTCCCATTGTAGTCAACAGGGAGAAATCAGCACTTCTGGGTTATTAGCAATTAAATTAAATTAAATTAAATTAAAAATTAATCACTTGATTAGGTTGCTCAGAAAAGTTGTGGAGTCTCTGTGGTTGGAAATGTCAAAGACTAAGCTTGAAAAGTCCATGAATAATCTAATCATGAGTCCATGCTTTCAACAGGTGTTCTCCTGATTCTCTTTTAAACCATACTTTTCCATAATTCCTCTGATGCACTTTTTTCTTCTACTTTAGTGTGGGATGATACATGCTACAAGTGTTATCTTGTCTCTATTGACTTGAAAGTATTAAATCAGATGTCAATATCCACATTTAATCAGAGGAATTCCACTGCAAGTGTTCTCAGAGGGAAGTGTTACCAGTCCTGCATCCCTTTTAATTGTCCAGTTGGAGCATTAGCCTCTTCTCCAGTCGGGGCCCAATGTCACCTCTCCTGATGGCAGTCAAATACTCTGAAAAAACCCACCAAAACAAAACAACACAAAACACTACAACATCCTCTTCCCAAAACTGTTCTGGACCATATCTCTGTCACTCATGCAGATGTGTTTCAACATACACTTCTGGTAACTGACCTATTTCTACCTTCTACAATGAGATGGGAGTAAGTGTCATCTGGAAGTGCCAACTTCCCACCAGAAAAATGCTGACTTAGGCACAGATGTTCACCCTCCAGAAAGCTGTGCCTGATCAGATAAATCCCACACCAGGTTTGTCAGAGTCACAGCACATGGGCCAGGGTGTTCAGCAAACCCTAAAATAAATTCCTGAGCTCTCAAAACTAGTGGAAAGGAACAAGTTGTTCCAGAGGTATTTAACACCTAGCATGGAGTTGGGTTCTTGTGTCCAGTCACTGTACTGAAGTCGAGAGGTGATCCGTGCCTGCCTCTACCATAGACTTCTCACAAACCTAGTCAAGCCACTTACTTGCCTTGATTTTCCCCACTAATAAACATCAACTATGATCTTCATTGTCATCCTTTTTGTTGGAGACAGGATTGTTTCTTGAGTTCTTCTTTTGGGGCTGCTCATTGAGTGTGGGGCACTCGTGTCTGTTGGCTTAACCCCTAAACAAATACGCTGAAAAGTATGTTATCCCAACAGCATTGTGCTGGGGTAGAAGGATATTCTTCCTTCAGAGACAGAGAAGTGAAATACCAAAGGCTGAATCTCAGTTCTTCAGTTATTCATTCCTACCTTCCAGTCATCTCCATGCTTTAAACATCAGTTATTAACTGAGCTTATAAAACTTGAGCAGCTGCCCAGTAGTCAGCAGTGACAGGGGAAGTAGTTAACCCAAGGATACTTTCTCGTGAAAGGAATAACCTTCTTATCTTCTGGCTGGCACCATCTGATGACTGAGCATGAGCAGGCCAAGTGGGCTGAAATCTGTAACAGAGATTGGGAATGAAAGTCTACAAAAATGATTTGTTATTGTATTCATTTTTTTTAAGAGTGAAAGAAATCCTGTAATAATAATAATAATAATAACCACACTAAAAATTGACTCATTTTGTTTGCCCAACAGGGGAAGCATTACATTTGGCCAGAGATTTTGGCTACACCTGTGAAACAGAGTTCCCTGCAAAAGCTGTAGGAGAGCACATTGCCAGACAGCACATGGAACAGAAAGAGCAGACAGCGAGGAAAAAGATGATCCTAGCGACAAAGTAAGAAGGGAGGGGAAACTAAAAAAGAAATCTGTCTGTCACTTCTCCATTTTGGATCTGGGGGCTGGGGGAGGGAGGAGTGGGAGTATGGATGGCGGTGACTGCTATCACAACAGTACTCACTGACAGCAAGTGAGAGCAAGCCTCTTTAGAGATGCTCTAAGAAGAACTTTATTTACTGCAATGAGGTTTTAGTGGCTATGCTTTCATTGCCTGCGGTTAAGGAGGCACGTACATCTTCTCAGATGCTGTGGTTTAGTTGAGAGGAGAGAGCATTATTACATGGTAAGATCTATAGGATGGAGACTGGCTTTGTCTCCTGTTTGAGTGTGTGCAGTAGATTTAAGCTTCTACTGAAGTACAAGTTACTGTGGGATAATTATCATTAGTCTGCTAAGGGAGAGCTGGTTTGCAGAGGGACAGATCCCCTCTGGATGGAAATTGCAATAGCTCCCCTGAAGTCAAAGGCACTGAAACAATGTACGACAGCAGGGGAGCTTTGCTAAAGCCATTAAAAGACACACAGAGGCACCCGACTTTGCACTAAACAAGCCACACATCTCCTTTGAGCAGTAACATCATGTTAGGATAACATTTCATCTAGGTTAATTAGCCTTGATGAGGGAGGAATTAGGCTCCATGAGCCATGGGAAACAGAAATAAATAGTCTGCACGGAATGATGTAGACCTACACTAGTGTGTGATATGCCTGCATGAGGTAGCCTTGAACGTATTCATGCTTTTCCTGAGCTTACTACAATGTTACACAGTGAGGCTGCAGGAGAGCTGAAGCTAGAAGCTTGAGCTCTTAAGCCACCATTCCAGTCCTAGAAATGTTTGGGAATCATTCAGGTTGGGATATATCCAACAGAGGGGAACCACACTGTAGTAGGGCAGAAGGCTGAGCAGCAACAGGATAGTCCTTTGTACCCCAGTGTCCTTCTGCTTTGTCTACTTGTAGAGGGCAGGACTCCTGGCCGTGGTGTCCCTCTTGCATCCTTGCCTTGAAGCTGACCCAAAGATGGTGTGCATTAAAACATCTCAGGATCATGAATCCCATGAATATAGTCTGTTATCCTTCCCTGGGGTGGAAGGCAGAGCACGGTGTAGCTCAGATTGTGAAGATAATGAAAGACTTCACATATCATGCTCCGAAGTCCCTTGTAGTTTGAAAGGAATAATATAAGTAGGATATGATATTATTCTTACCTATACCCCCATCTGTTTTAAGGATGCAAGGGGTTTCAGAGGCATGAGAATAAACTGGCTTAATAGAAGCAGCACCTTTCTGCAAGTTGTGTCCCTCTGTTGCTGTATAGCCCATTAAAAATCTGCCTCCCTAACTACATAAAAGCTGATTGTAGCACTGGGCAGCACAACCTAAACAAGAGTTAAAACTCTAAGTTGCCCCAGCTGGAGGATTTGCCCCATCTACAAAATGTAATTCAACTGTAACAACACAAAGTTTTCCTTTTCTTTTCTGTCTGGAGTGAGAGATTATGTTACCACGGGTTGTAATAATCAGTGGGTAACTATTAATGTCCTCTCTCCAAATACTGTCCCACTGAGGCACACCTAAGAGTCTTACTGCCCTTTCTCATCACTCCATATCTACCTCTTCATCCTCTACAACTGAGGTGGGGAGTCGTGGGCATGCATTACTCCTAACCCCCATGAACTGGTAGGCTTGTAGGTTGTTATCTTGCATTTGTAAAGAACAAAATTAATTTTTCCTTCTTCCATCAGTTAAAAGCACCAGCAAATTGATCAGAGAGGTCTGTCGATAATACAAAAATAGGCCACATCCTACCGCAAAGTGGTTGTAACGGGACAGATGGGTCAATGTGTGTGCTACTACTGCCCTCTCCTGCCTGGAAGGAGAACAGTGGAAGGAGACAGACCAGTCCTGTCCAGGTACTGCAGGAGACACAGGTCCGTGGCATGCCGTGTTTCCTTCACTTGATAGTAGGTACTCTAGTCATTTGTCAGGAATTTTAATTATTCACCAGACATATATAAGCTCTAGGTTTGTAATTTCAATAATTTCACAACTGCCTCATGCGTTTAAGATTTACACCTCCAGAAAAAGTGGTGGGTTGTTCTTCTATCTTCAGAAACAACACTGAAATTCCAGGGTGGTAAAATCAGTCATAGCAAGCTTTGACTATGGAAAGAACTGGACTGCCATTGCCTGTCTGTGTTGCCACTGTCCACTCTAAGACAGAGACAGAAGCCCATAGAAATGTGTCTTTGGCAGAACTGATGAGACCTTCCACATGTGGGGTCTTGAAGAAAAATAAAAGGGAAAGAACAAAAATATTTCTACAATTCCTGATATAGAGATGGAATTCCATTCTCAGTTCAGACATCCAGCTTCAGTGGCTTGGTTCAGTTGCCCAAACACAGGCACCTACTGCCATTGGAGATGAATTGGGTTATCCAGCGTGGTTATCAGCTGCTGCTCTGGAAGCACACAAGTGTCTTTTTGCTCCTACGTTATATCTGCCAGTTATTATGGATGTCTTGGATACTACATATGTATGTGTGAGCCATTCTAACAACTTGATGGTCTAGACAACAAAGAATCAGAGCCATACCTGACAATTACCATGGGAAGAGATGATTGGGCTGCGTAGTGAGTAACGGTGCTGAACACAAGTGAGAGCAAGGGCAGGATGGAAGTAAATCAAGTTTTAGTTAAGAGCTGAAAGGATAAGAAAAGGGTAAACAATGGGAGAAGCCAGTCTCTTATAATTCACCTCATTTGACTAAACAGATGATCGTCTGGGCATTCCAGAGCAAGATGCTTCGGAACAGAGGCTGAAATGTCACAGTTCTGGCCGAAGGGTGGTGATACTGGCCTGTTACCTTAGACTCTTTTAGAAAGGCATCAGGACATGTCTATGCAGTCCACATAGGGGGGAAAAAAAAAAAAAAAGATAAAAAGCTAGGACCTAGTTTTAGAGGGTCTTTAAAGCATGGGTTATTTCACCATGCAGAGGTGTGGGAAACCCTGAATGTCTTTACAGTAAGGAACAGAACCTGATCAGGTTGCAGCTAGGACAGATGCAGAACTGCTGAAGGCCACATTAATAATTCCACTTGATGGAGAGGCACACTGTCCTACAGGAAACATCACAGAATATCACAGTGTAAGGCCTTCCACATTAGACAGAGGGACAGATACACACGTATTTACAGGGACCAAAAGCGAATACTGTGAATAACAATTTTATTCATATTTATTATGGGATTGCTTACAGCCAGTACAGAATAATCAATATCTGGCTTATGAGACTCTGTATTCAATTTGCTAGTTTTCTGAAAAGCAACTCTGTGACTGGACACGTAGGACCTGCTGAGCTTCTCTGTGATAGCTGATGTTTGGATGGGTGGCAACTGTCACACTTGCAATATATCAGAAGTGTGGGCACACATTTGCCCCTCTCCTGTACTCATCACAAGGCCTTTGCTTCAGCTGCTGCTAGGGATAGGGTCATGGACAAGATGGGCTCTTGTTCTGATCCGGTATGGAATTATTTATCTTTTCCTGATCATACACTGCAACATCTGACCATCTATCACAAACTATTAGGTGACTCCTTTGCAGGAGTGATCAGGACTCTTTTTTAATTGTTATTATTAATCTGTGGCCCCTCAGACAGCACAACATCTTTCTTTGCTTTTTCAAAGTCACAGTCCAACAAAATAACTGTCAGCCCCTCTCCCTGTCACTAACCCAGGTGATTTTTTCATTGGTAGTGGAGGCTCTGAAACACCACTTTGCCTAGAAATCCCCTTGAAAAAAAGTAGGTTACTGCCTTTTACAGGTTTTCATGTATAATAAAGAAGTTTTTTCTTTTCTTTCAATCTGCCAACATTCAGTAAAGACTTTTGACACCTGAAGATAGAAGGGAACTTAATTGCACACTAGGTTCTGACACTTTCCTTTGTCAAAGTATAAGAACTTTTAAGATGAACTTTTTCAACAGGTAGAAAGTAGAGGTTGGAGGAAGGAGAGAAGAGCAGTGCTGACAGGGCCGACTGGGGATAGTAGATTGTTTAGAAGCCAAAATGACTGACTGTTTTCAGTTGTTGAAAGGAACTGTTTTCCCTCTAAGGACCTGATTCATTAAAACTGTATGCTGCATTTACATATATTTCTGCTGAATACTTCTTTTTGCCTGAAAGGCTAAGACAATGCAGTCTTTTCAAGCAGTCGGTGGCTAGGTCCATACAGATGACAAGTGTTATAGAAGTCAAGTTTGGATGAAGTCCAGAAGCACAACAGGAAATAGTTAGTCAAAAGAGAGCTATAATATCCAAAGTCTATGTTCACAACTTGCAGAACAGTGTTATAATGAAGGGTAAAACCAGGTCGGTATAGTTTACTTGTTTGTAACTCAGCAATGGAGGACTTCTAAATACCAAGAAGCTTATTTTCCATTATGTCCCTGTCCAAAAGGACAAAAGTTACAAGGTGATAATGAAGATCTCAAATTTTATCTAAGATCAGGTGTGCAAAGAGTCTTCTAACAGAAATCATGGACCACAAGAGATGCTCTTTGGTATTAGAAACTGGCCCCAGGCACAGTGATTGCATCTATGCTAAGAAAGTAAACCATGCACACACTGAGTCATCAGATTGCACTTGTCCATACTATTAAAATGTTAGAATGGCTCCTTGAACTATCCTAAATATCTTTTGGGTGTGTTGTGGGAAACAGCCCAAACCAAGGTCCATTCTCAGGAAGCCATACTGTTCAGGAGACTAGAATAGTATAACTACAGGGACTTTATCAAGTAGTTATAATTTGCACGAGGATGTGAGAATGACCCCTGGCACTATATACTTTACTAGGTGGAACTGTTTACTAGGTTACACGTAGTCACTGTGACCAGTATTAGGTCAGTCCAGCTGAATGTCAGGCTACTATTAGGCAACCCAAGGGATTGTCCTGATCATTTGGTGGGCATCGTGTCCTCCTGATCCCTTACTAAGTGCCTAAACTTCCAATTCAGTCAACAGAGAAGAGTATGCTCATTTTAACAAGTCCTGAGAGAGAGATCCAGACATCTCTCCTTTTTCCTAACAGTGTCATAAGCCAATTGAAAATAAATGGTGTCTCTATTGATCCATGGTGCACCTAGTATTCTTCTGAGGACACACAGTAAATGGACCTGGTCTGGTTTCTCTTTTTTTTTTTTTTTTTAAAAAAAAAAAAAAGTACATTGGTAGACTATTCCTAGACTAATTTGCAAACTGGCCCAGTACAATAATATCACAAAAAAGAAAAGGTCTTATTTTCAGGTCTCTCCTAGTGTTAAGTACTACAAAGATTTATCCCAGGGGATATTTATAGCCTCCAGGTCCTGAGGCATCCTCAGAAGCTTGATCGAAGGTCTGAGAGAGAGGGAAGAGGTAAGACCACCCATCCTTTCCAAAGAACATGGGCCACTATGCTCGTGGGAGACCAGACAAGATAGAGCATGAGTTGTCATTGAAAGGTGTCAAACTGGGGTCCTACCTGCTGAAAGTGCCTGTTACCGAGGAAACCATCATCGAGGAAAAGTAGCGATGACGGGTTTTGCCTCACTTGCCTGTCTGTTGAGTAGGGACTGACAGCTGCATGAGTCACTAAGCTCCTCCTTCAGAGAAGGCACCAGAGGAAAAGAGGCATTCTTAGGATGCAAGTCCTCTGGACTGCTGTAGACATCTATTTTAGGCTGCCTGATAGACGGTAGAAATGTAAAACAATTTAACAAATGTTTCAATAAGACATTTAAATACTGCTACTGGAATGAGTCCTCCCTCTGGACAGACCAGAGGGAGAGGTTTCAGTTGAGGATCCACCAGGTTTTCTGCCCCAGACTCTACAAGGAAGAAGAGTATGGACACAAGTGAAAACTAGGAGAGCAAAAGTAGTATTTTCTTCACAACTTCTAGAGCTCTGTTGGTCTTAAGAGTGGGGGTCAAGAAGGCAAAGTCAGGACTTCCACTTGCAGATAAACCAGTGCACACAAGCAAATGTACAAGTACTGGTGTATTTACCCAAAGTCTTTGGGCATGTTCAAATGCTAGTTCATAACTTTAACCATAACCCTTCCTTCTGACATAAGTGAGCTAAGCCAGACTTAACACTGCCAAAATGGGTCCAATTCAGGAAATAAATCACACTTTAAAATGTCAATGTTGACATGGTTCCAGAGGGGAAATATTCCTGCTCAAGAGATTGTATATATTGTTGCTTTTGAGAATTTGGGGCAGTAAATCAAGGAGGGGATTCGTTTGCCTTTCATTTCTTTAAGAGAGCCTCTGCCCACTCAGGAGAAAGTGACAGTGTTAAAAGAATCAGCTTTATGGAAAGGATTACACCTGTCTTATTTAAGGATTTCCACTTTTATTTTAGACAAATATGTAAAGAATTCCAAGATCTTCTAAGTCAAGACAGATCACCCCTCGGATCCTCCAGACCGACTCCAATATTAGACCTCGACATCCAGAGACATTTAACACATTTCAGGTATGACTTGGAAAAAGGAACAATTAACTAAAATCCATAATTTTTATAAAGACTACATTTGATGTTATAATGGTATTTGTTCCCCTACCTAGAAGACCATAATGTCCATAATCTCTGTTATGTGTGTCTTTTAAAAGTGCTTTTTTTGCTCAGCAATGTAGTTCGGGCTAGCTGCATTCACCCTGTTTCTAGGATCATGGTCTGAGTTTGAATAAGTAATCTCCATCTGCCAGTAAAATCTCCCCATCCAGCCAGAAAGTTATCTTGCTCTAGATGTCAGTCAAATCACAAGCCAAGCAGTGAAGTGGATGGTCTAGAAATTAGAAATTCAAGTTCAGAGCTAAAGTGACAATATAAATGAATAAAAGTGGCAACAAAAAGAAGGTAAAATTAGACTGCTTCCTTACCATTTAATTAAATAATTCCAGAGCCTTCTCTATGCTACTGAGACCACTTAACATCATCTTGCCACGACCATACTGTTAAGTCTTTGCCTTCCAAAGCAGACTGGCCTCAAAGCAAACTACCTATTGGAACAATCTTACTGCACTAATTCCTGAACAACGTCCTGGAAAAGTGTGGGAGAATGCAAACTGGCTCAGATTAAAAATTCAGGGACTGCTAATATATTTAAACTCAGTTTCTGGGGCTGTGCCCTAGCAATATTTAATTTTTTGTGTGTAGTCAGCCTAAGAAACTGTTCTGAAGAAAAAGACCCATAGTACATGCATGCCAAGTCCACATTTCATCAGAATTTTATCCAAGTTACAGATAAAAGTGTATAGAGGGTTTGGGATCAGAAAGATTTATTAGCCTAGGAGTTACTGTGCAATTTCACATTTTTGCTTTAGGCTATATGCTAGATACAGTCAAGAGTGAAGTGGGAACTTTCAGGGGGCCACTTTGAAATAGTAGGGTCATCTAAGATATTTATCAAAGATAAGTGTGACGAAACATTCTAGAGGTTCTCCTGTATTTGCTCAGACCACAGAAGGGAATACATGGCTAACTGAGGCTACAGATTTTTTTTTTCTAGCCATTAGGTGATACCTGAAAAATCAACATTTGAAGAAGCGTTCCAGAGAGTTATTTACAAACCATAACACTAAGCAGGTTCGTTAGGCCTATAAAGCCCTAGAATTACGTTTCATGCTCTTTAGCACAGCCAGATGAGCCACCCTTCATTCACCAACTGAACAGGCAACTTTTGTTTCCCAATATCCCAATATCATTTACTTATTACAGAGCAGGAGGCACCCAGCAGCAAGGTAGTGTGATAGCTAATTTTTGGACTCTCAAACTTTGAATGGAATCCAAAATACCCAATGTTCCACTTCTTCCATCTATCTATTGGGGAATGGGGAGAGACAATGATAATGCCCAGTCCACAAATGCACACATTCTTGTTTATTCTTAAATAAACTTTAAGATGTGCATAAGGGTGCATACTAGCATGCACCCTGTGAGTAGAACACACCTAGACAACCTCACTTCTATTCTCATGTGCTCACACATACACATACTACTTACATCTAACTATACTTTCCCTTATACACAGACACTCCAAGATATCTGACTACACTTGCACACCAAGGGAAACATACTTACTTATACAGGATGCTCATAGAGGGATTTTAATGGGATGCCTAGACTCGTAGAAAAATAGATAATTCCCCATTACATGCACACAAAATAAACGTAATAAAAGATAGCTAACCCCCAAGGATTCCTGTGTTTAAAGAAGAAATAGCAGCCAGGAAAAAATGTTGAAGGCTTCATCTACAAAAGCTGTCAATTGGTATAGCTCCCACCCTTCTTTCTCTGCTGCACTTCAGTAAGTTGGAGTACAAAGCTTCTACAGGCAGCTCCTAGATCATTCAATATTTTCTTTCATGCCTACTGTAGGCAATAAGTGCCGGACTGAAGATGGGCACCTAGAAGAGCACAGGTCTTGTTCCTACATGGATGCTTAAATTAGACAACCTCGATTGTGCTTGGGAGATGAATATTGCCAGATCCAGAGGCTGAGCTGAGACCATATTCTTTGTCCATCTGTTGTAGAAAAGCTGAGATCAGATCCAGCTTCTGACCCAGGCCTCTAACTCAACTCATCTGCATGTCTGTGCCTGTATTTCAGCCACATGTATATCTTATGCTGCCATCTCAAGGGAACTTGTCTGTATAGCCCATGAAATCTGTGTTACAGTTAAGAAGGACTAACACAGCTATATTAGCCAACTAGTACGCACTAGGTATTTATATTGTAAACAGCTAAATCCAGTGTAGACAAGAAAACATCCATTGTTCCTATCCCCTAAATCTGACAGTCTTCACAGCTAGGTCATCTGAAGCCCTCCTACCACCACTTTCCTTCTTGAGATTAAACCTCACAGAAGACACTCAAATCTATCTCAGGTGCCAGTGAAGACGTGAGAATGCAATTCACCATGTTTTCCAGGAGCATTAACCATTTTCTAAGTCAAGTTTTCAACACAGACTGCTTCTGACCAATCACTTAGTTTCTTTGTCCTTCTCTGAGGGATAAGCTTCAGAATGAACTAACATCTGTCAAAGGAAATTTGCCTCTGATCAGTTGGGGATGAGAGAAGAAACACACAGAGAAATTCCTTGTAACTCAGAAGCAACATGATCACTGCTATCTGAGGCATAGCACAGCACCCTTACTGATCACAAACACAAATAGCTGCTTGTCATACATCAGTTAGAAATTATTTCATAAAAATGATGTTGGAAGCCTAATGCAAAACATACACCAAACACTAAGAATTCAAATATTCAGAGCACAGGGGCATCAACATCCCTGATCATAGGTCCCACCTAAGATGAGATTTCCAAAAGAGCAGGTTCTCCTCATTTATTTTACTTAAATGAATACAATCATCATGCATCTGTATCTCTAGAGAAATATTCAACTGTATGCCAGACAAGGATTTGACTTTCATACCATAGTCATTGTCAAATACTCTGATAACATCTATGATAGTCGCAGTCTAAAATTGGACTGTCTGAATAAGTGACTGATCCTGATTATATAAATGAAATTAATATTATTTATGTTCAAAATACCCAAGAGCTGTTAGTGCTCTACAAAGAGGTCTGGCAGAGGAGACATAAGTCTGAAGAAGTGATTCCACACAGTCATCATGAATTTTATAACATGCTTTATCAATAGTGAAATTTTCATCTTCACTTCTATCCATATTCCAGCACTGTGAGCTTTCTCACAATAAATTCTCTGCCTCTGTGTTGTGTAAATCTCTAGATTGGGATGGAGCCAAAATATTACATTTGGCAAGGACAATGCTTTCACTAGAGTATCTGTTAAGGTTTTGTGAATGTTTTCAGTAGAGATAATAGCATGTTTTTCAACCATTATCCAATAAGAGCAGGTTTTTGAATACAGGAAATCTCATACAGTTTCATACAAATGTAATGTAACAAGAAGAGGTTCATAAATTCTGCCTTATAAACCACACCTAAGGCAGCAAATAAACTACAAGATTAAAGGTTGATATTTTATATATATATGTGTATGCTTATGTCATACGATGTCAGAAAGTCAAAGATATTTTTTATGACCAGAAAAATTCAAAGGATTAACACAAATCTCTATTATTAGAATAATATCAAAGCAGTGTTTCCTGTTTCCTCTGTTTTAAACCTTCCAGCTCACACTTCTCTGAAGTTTTTCCACTGGGCCCCAGCTCATCAAGATCTGTAAACATGTGTCCAGTCAAAATTGCTGGGTTTGCTCAAACTCCAAACTCAAAGTTCATGCAAAGCATAAAACAGGGGAAATCTTCAAAGGAGCTGCCAGTGAACCTGAAAACTGCTGAGTTTTGCACAACTTTACCAGATCTAGAGGCTCTTCTACACCCCTGGCACAACCATGTTTGTGCGGACTCTCTCTGAGATGTCCATCTGACCTGAATACAGAAAATATCACGCTGCGTGAAGAATGATTTCCCAGCATTGTTCTACCATGAACAGACAATTCTATCGACCCCTAACATTCATAGCAGCAACTATTGTGCACTACCCGTTGCAGGGTAGTATTATACACGTTTTATTCAAGATTTCTTCCTATTCAATACATCTTGGAATATCTTACTGCAGAGAAGTTCTATTACTACTAGTAAATAATAGTACCAGGGCACAGGCATGTATTGATTGCCTCTGTCTTTTCTTTATTTCTTTTTTTTTTTTCAGAACTCCTTAGGTTTTGTTGCCTGGTTTAACCAGCACTGTCCCAAACTCTTCCTGGGCACACTGGCAATACATATAACACCGATAAATATGCCACTTGAGAATCCAGGGAAGAAGCAACTCTTATTACAGCCCATTTAGGTTCCTTACCTATGTTATATATAATGTACTAAGATTTAGAAAAGTCCAGACTTGTCAGGGCTGGATCGTAAGCCACTGACCTCATGGGCTAAGTGCTGTGGCAGCTCAGATTTCTAAGAATATCTGAAAGTCTGGGTTCAGGAAGACGTGATACGTTGTAGGGTTACCCAAGCTGTATTTCAGCTCTTCTTTAATTCCTTCATGATAAATGCAAAGGAGTAAGTGAAAGCCACCACCTGAGGTATCCTGTCCCCAGCTTCTGAAAACAGAATCGGCATTAAGCCACAGGGCAAATAAGAAAACCCTGAAAAAAATCCATTTCCATTACTAAGTGCTAAGAGTTTTTGAGTGTCTGTCTCTTTATTGTCCTCTAAAGGCTGATCTGTGTAAATGCATTTAAGAGTCTACTACAGTAAAGAGAAAAATCAGCACATCAGTACTAGAAAAAAAACCAAAATTTCCTTAGCTTTAATGAGATGAACATATTTCCCGCACCCTTTGCTTTCAAAAGGGAGTAAGCATCAAGAAAGGGAAAGCAAGAAAGCGAGAGCAAAAAAAAGAGAAGGAAAAAAGAAAGATAAAAAGAAGACATTTAGATAAACTTAGCTGCTTTTAAAACACCTTATATTAAT